CATTCATAACTTTGCACAATCTATAGAGAGGTGCATTTTTGCCAAGAATAGTGTAAGCTTTAGGGAGAACAAATAGAAGTGTGGTTTTGTGATTATAATTAGATTGCCAGTAACTAAATGTTTCTAAGAAATACGAGGAGTCAATTTCATTATTAAGTAATTTGTATATAAATAGAGCAGAAGCAATTTCTCGCCTGTGCTCTAGTTTGATGAAATTAAATTCAAACAAAAGCGTCACATAAGGTATATCAAAACAGTACTTTCCAGTTTTTTAAAATAGAGATCTTAGAATTTTTTCCTGAACCTTTTCGATTTCATTTTGATATTTTTTGTAGTACGGTGACCAGACGATAGAGGCGTATTCTAGTATGCTCCTGACATAAGTGTTGTATACCATTATATCAACGTTTTCATATCTGCGAATTTACAGAAATTCCTAATTACGAATACTAATATCCTATACCATCTATTGATTATTGTATTGATGTTAATTGAAATTGAGTTCTCTGTCAAAGTAAACACCTAGGTCTTTCACAACATTTCTATCAGCCAGAATATTATTGTTTATAGTGTATTCAAATTGAATATTATATTTCTTGAAAAAGATACTGTTATTTTGTTGTTTTCTGACCAGTTTGCTACCGCTTCCAGATCTTCTTGCAGAATATAACAATCATCGATTTGATCTTTCTATATAATTTGAAATCACCTGCGAAAATAAAAAATTCGGATGATCTTATACAGTTAGGCAATGTGTTTATCAAGCATAGAAAGAAAAATGGACCCAAGTTGGAGCCCTGGGGTACGCCTAAACAGGTGATAAATTTTTCCGAACAGCCCCCTTTGAATACCACATATTATTGGCGGACCTTGTCCAGCAAGGTCAACCACTTCATTTGCGCTTTGAGAAAATTGAATAAGATTGATAACTGTCGATTTTTTTATGTGAAGCCATGTTGATTATTCGATAAATTAGGTCCAACGAATTCTACCAGTTTTAGATATAAAATTGACTCAAATACCTTACTGGGTACACAAATTAACGCAACAGGCCTATAATTCATTATCTGATTTTTATCACCATTTTAGAAAATGGGGGAAACTTCGCTCAGTTTCCATGATTATAGATATACCATGGTATTGATTTAAACCAATCAAATTGGCGATTTCAGGACACAAAAAACTAACACAAGCTCAAGGGGGTGGAACAATAATATGATATTCAGAAAGAAATGGAAAATTAATCAACATTGTACAACGTTTTTCAACACAGATAAGATCAGAACAATGTTGTGAAATTCTTATTGAGTTTTTCTGAGGATGAATTGGAAAATGTGATCCATTTTGAAATTTGACAAAATAGACTAATAAAAATCCTCAGATTATATGAAAAAAAAAAATTGTTTTTTGTTGAAAAAGAGCCAAAAGTAATGATGTTGCAATCTAATGATTTTACGACAGTAAATCACACACAAGAAGTGTGAAATCGGGATGGACAGGGCTCTTAAGGTAGCTACGATTGAAATACTCGAAATATACGTTGTAATGAAAATTCACAAGCCTGGCAAGTCGGTGGGACGAAATATCTTCATCAAAAATTTTCAAACGCTAACAAAAAAGTAATAAATTATCTTGATATTACAGTACAGTGTAGGTTTGGTTGACTCACGTGGATTTTTTGAAGGAATCAAAGGTGTAAGGTTGCGAGATGACGAGATTTTGGTATTATTAGGATTGATTATCAAGCTGGTGAATTGGCCATCTCACACAAATTTGTAAGCAACCTAGTTGCTTTCCATTCAATAACTGTTTCTGTAGGGAACAAAAGTGCAGAGCAATCAAGAAAACATTCTTTAGACACAACTACTTTCAACAGTAAAGGAGTTGAAAACCAGAGCACAACCGATTTTCGATTCAACAACAGACAACGCTATTTTAACCTGCCATGGGTATCATCAGTGGTGCTAGGCTGGACCACAAATGCATTGCTGAACTCAGTCTGAGTGAACAATAGCTGATGATTCCAATATTTAATGTTCTCTGGACGGATATTGGTATTTTAATATATTCATACAAAAACTCACATTTTGAAATTCAACAAAAATTCGAAGGTGATTCTTATTTTTGATATTTTATTTCAAAGGAACAGATAGGCGTCTTTATATCTGAGTGAGTTGCTCTTTCGAATAATTCTTATAATTTTTACTATGCACATTTACCTGCAACTATCATTTGTTCAGAATCACTAATAGATTTGTTTGATTGCTGTCATATCATCAAACAACTCAAGATTTATCAAAAATCTATATTGCTTCCGATGGATTCGAGTTGTAATAAAAAAATGAGGTGAATGTGTGAAAAATTTAATTAAGTAGTCAGAAACACTTTGAATGTTGACAGTGGCATATGGTGATTATCTTTATCTTTAGAGTAGGAAGGGTGAGTGTAAGCCCACAGCATTAAGGTCACATGTGACCCATTGTACATCCTCTCGAGGAGTTGTCCTACTAGGTCATCGTCCATCCTGTCCTTTCCAGGAAGATGCACAGGTCAGGTTGTTTCATTTGTATTAAACACAAACCTAAATTCAATTGCATCACTGGTTGCCTGCAGCAGAGGTTATGCAGTAAGCGCTTCTCGCAATAGGTTCAACCTCAATTGACCTATTCCTACTTCGAGGTTTACACCAGCCGTGCGCAATTGTAACATGGCCATTAACGCAACCTCCTTAAGGTATAGGTTCAGAGGGGTCAGACCCGTAATACATTCCATTGCTGCGGTTGGTGTTGTTCTCATAGCTCCTGTGATGTTTGAACAAACCAGTAGCTGTATTTGATATAATTTTTGGACGGCCGTTGCTTCTAGAACTTTCGGTCCCCATGCAATGGCTTCGTACGTTAACAAAGGTCATAAGGAACGAGCAGAACGAAATAGAATTTGACATTTACAGGAAAGACACGGGCACTTTCAGATACATTCCCAATGACTTGAATCATTGTTCACAACACAAAAGCGGCAGTTCAGTTTCTGGTACACAGGTTAATAACTTTTCCTTTAAAGAAAGATAAGTACGACAATGAAAAGAGAGTGATTTGGTATGTAGCTGAAGCAAACGGTTTCAACCCAGATATAGTTAACAAGATGATTAGAAAATGCAAGTTTAGGGAAGCACTTCGTAAATCTTCGACTTTTCAAAAATAGGAGAGTAATAACAAGTTTATAGTAATCCCATATGAACCCCAATACACAAGAGGGCTTACAAGAGGGCTACAACAGATATTCGATAAAGTAAATATGAAAGTTGCATATAAAACTTCTCATAAATTGCAACAGCTTCTTGGTAATCCAAAAGACTAGAAAACACAGAAAGGTCGGGGATTTACGAAATCAGTTGTCGAAATTGCAACAGCAAATACATCGGCCAGAGCCGACGAGCGATTAAAACCCGCTTCAAGGAGCATTGTGCACACATGAGATACGGAAGGATAGAAAAATCCAGTGTCGCCCAACATGCTCTAGACAAGGACCACAGAATTGGTGAAAACAATCTGAAACAGATTAAGCATGTGCACGACACCAGGCTACTCGATGCATGTCAGAGTCTAGAAATAGCAAAATGTAAAAACAGCATGAATGGCGATAAGGGGCCCATCCCGTTTAGCCCGTTTTTTAATCTTCTGTTAGGGAGAGAATAATTACTAAGAACTTGCAGGTAGTTAATTACCAAAAAATTCCATATTGGACTTCAGGTATACAACCGCAGGTAACAAATTTTAGTATATAAGGACTAACCTGACTAGACTAGGTATCAATTTTCTTCTCCTGAGGATGCTAACTTTGTTGGCGAAACGCGCGTCAAGTTAAAAAATATCAGTTTGGTGTTAGGGCAATTGATCTCGAAAAAAGTTATTGAATAGGTCTTATTATTGCAGTGTAGATCCAGGTGACCACACGGGGTGAAAGACCTCATGCGCATTCCACTGTCCCCCCGACATTGCTCATAACCCACATATGCTCTTTTTGCTCTACTCTGTAGGTGAGTGTTCCATGTTAGCTCCCTGTAGTGGATAGTATCAAGGTATTTCACCTCTTCAGAAAAGTTTAGTTTGCTTTTGAAGATTTCGGGAAGTTTTAAGCCTGATAAACTTCTTTTCCTGGTGAAAATGACCATCTCAGTCTTCTTGGGATTGATCGACAGTGAGTGTTCCTTACACCATGTTTCTTTTAATTTGAGCCCATCCTGCGCTCTATCGCACAGTGTGTTCACAAATTTGCCGGTCTGCAAAATAACTATGTCATCTGCATATGCAATTGTGTAGAATCCATTATTGTTAAGGTGAATAATCAGGGTATCAGACTTCTAGAGAAGGGGTGATAAGATGCCTCCCTGTGGACATCCCCTCATGTCCAGTTGTCTCACTGTGATGTCTTCAACATTGATACTTATTGCTCTACTAGAGAGCAATACGGTGAGTCAGAGACATCTTCAAAGGCTTCTCACAGAAGGCCGAAAAGATGTGAATGATGATGCTCGCCCTAAAAGCACATCAACGATCAATGAAACTGTTGAGAAAGAGTCATAACTGGTGACGAATCGTAGATATATGGTTATGACATCGAAATCAAAGTTCAATGGTCCTCATGAAATAGCCGAGGAGAGTCAGGACCAAATGTTTCGCAAACTCTTTTCTTCGAGTTTTTGCCACATGGTCGTACGGACAATAAAGAGTACTATTTTGAAGTCCCGCTTGCAATATGCAATATGAAGAAAACTTTGTTTAATCATAATTTTTTCATCAAAAACAACATCGTTATCATGCCTCATCCACCATATTCACCAGATGTAGTTTCTTGCGACTTTTTTTTCTGAAGATTGAAGACACTCATGGAAGGACGGAGTTTTGCGACGATTGAGGAGATGAAAACTAAATCAACAGATCTCGTACAGTATTCATTCAAAGATAAAACGGATCGCTTAACATAAAAGTTGAGAAACATTTACATTTATTCAGCGATATTTGATTCAAAGAATTATACAACATATTAGTTAAGAATAATTTACTATACATAAATTAAACTAACTGAAATATCACAGCCTTGTAAAAGCGAACGTAACAGGATCATAAGTAAAAACTGGCCCTCTGATCGGTTCAACATTTTCGTACTTGAGTCTGGCACTGAACGCCATATTTTTAACGTCGTCGTTGGTCGCAAAATTCACCCTCTGTAGCAACCCACTCGGGTGGTAGATGTAGTAAAACCCACGTTCTTCATTTGTTAAAGCTTCATTCTTCTGGTCATCGTCTCCAGATCCAATCTCTTCTGTATCCAGGTCAGGATTAGATGTAGTAGTAATTGGTGTTTCTGTCGTAGTACTGTCAAGGTCAGACGCTGTTGTAGTTTCTTCCTGGGGTGGGCCATACTCTTGTGAGGGAGGTCCATATTCCTGGGGTGGTGGTCCATAGGAAGTCTGTGGCTCTGGAAGTTGAAACTGAGGTCCAGATGGTCTCCAACCTGATGGTGGATATGGAGCAGCTTCCTGTCGTTGAAATTGTCTGGAGAACCTTGAATTCGAACGTGGAGGTTCTGCAGATGCCACAGCTAATAAACCAAAACACAGCACTACGAACGAATTCATTTTCTGGGTCGTCAGAAGGAGACTGATGATTGACAAGGCAAATACTTCTGCTTTTATACTGTCGATATGAAATATTTCATTGAGAGCATATGATTATTTTAGCTAATTGAATATTCTGTTCGCATCTTCAGTCGATGTCTGGCGCATTTTAAAGTTTCAAAATGTTCTCGAGGTCAGTTATGATCGTATGCTTTTCACATGGAGAGATCTGGAACTGAAAATCCATTTCATGTGATAATGAAAACATGTTTCAGCTTGAACGTCTCTTGAACTTATACTGCAAGCATTGAAAAAATCTAAAGGAGGAATTACGAAACACAACAAAGGAAGGAATGTCTTTTAGCATTATTTGTTTCATTGTGTAATGTAACAAAGGCACTAGTTGTTTTTGAAATGAACTCTGAACAAACCAAAAAATTCGTCAGTATCCACAAAAAATAGGCATTGACTTGATATATCATCATGAATTATATCAATTACTATTCCTTCCATAAAAAATCAGTTGAAATGAATTCAATACTCTGTTTGAAAAAAAGAATAGAAAAATTACTACACCCTTCCCTTAAGCAAAAAAATTTCAGACATCTTAGAGACGTATTGATCGAAAATTCTTATCCCAGAAAACTTCTTAATAAAATAATTTTCAATACTGGTAGTATAACAAATTCCGATGTAATCAACAGAAATGCATGTAATGATAGTTCACCTATCAATATTTCTTATAAATCTATACCTTACCTTAGAAATTTATCTTCAAATATCATAAAACTTTTTCATAATGAACAAAATATCCAAATATGCCAAAAAAATATCGAAACTATAAAGTATTTGAATACTAAATTGAAAGATGAAACGGATACTACAAAAAAGTCAAATGTGATTTATAACATTCCTTGTAACAACTGTAACTTGGATTATATTGGAACAACATTTAGAATTCTTCACATAGATAGAATGACTTCACATAAAAGTGATTTAAAGCTTTATAAGGAATCATGTGCATTAGCACACAATTCTATAGAAACGCGACACAAATCAAATTACTCTAATATAAAAGTTTTACATACAGAAAAAAATATTTCCAAACGCCTTTTTCTTGAAATGGT